AGGACAGATCACTTTACTAAACTTCCCCTGTGAATGTGGGAAGACTTTTGTGATTTTGTGAAATTGAAAAAATGTAGCTCTCTTGAAAAAGAATGAGCTGATGAAAGTGCACTGAGGCAGAAATCAGCTGAGAAAAAACGGTATGTGGGCAATTCTAGCATTGTGGGAGAAAATATCATGTCTGTGATAGAGCCACTTACATGTAACCATGACATCTACAATGTAATTAATGATTCAGAGAAAACATCCAAGTACTCCTAGTCTGTAATCTTCTTAGATGATGCAAAAATACATTTTCAGGGTTATTCACTGAGCTCTGAAATTTACCGGGAAAAAAAATATGTAATGTCCCGACGCTGGAATTGTCAAAAACATGCAGGCCATCACAGAAAGGATGCGACGACCTAGAAATATCTTACAGTGCTACATTTTTTTAAATGGCATTTATAATAGTTGTGGCATTAGGACAAAAACGAAAGTTGGGTTGAAAACAGCTATGGCAGCTGTAACATAGCTTGCAATCCAGCTTGTTAGACTCACTGCAGACCATGCATCATTCCACAATGCTGAGTCACCTACCGACAACACTTAACAGCCACGCCACACATCATGTATGAGCAAAATATGAATAAGAAAAAACAAAATTATTTCCATCTCCCTGGACGTGCCAGCTCACATACACATCTCCGGTGCCAACCCGCAAACCCGCACAGAACATGCCACACCCTAAAAAATTTCCCTGGCTGCCCTGCTATTTATAGAAGCACTTGTGCTATTTTTAGCCCGGGAAGTCTAAATATAACCCGCGCCTGCCTCCAGGGAGACCGTATGTGTGCATTATGAGTGCGTGTGTATGGACAGGCTGGCCGAGACACGGGCTGGGTTTGTTCTACACATTGTAATTAGGATAAGCGTTTGGCTGTAGCTCTCCCACGGTATAATAGTATCTCTAGTCTCTCTCTCTCCCCGATATTGCATTTATGCTTATCATGGTCACACGGGGGAACCATTGAAGACAACCGTGTGTACAACAGTGTACGTACATGTACACGTATACACATGCACAAATATTGTGTGCGGGAACAGGCCATTTCAGAAAAACATAATTACATTGCCTACACTCTCTGCAAATACAATCAGATTTCTATTTTTAGACTAACTCTGGTTGCATATTAATGCTCTTATCACACTTCTGAACCAATGTTTTTTTTCTCCACATGGTTCATCTAAATGTCTTTCAAGCGTGGCATGTCTTTTTAAAGACACTATATTCATCATTACGGAACAATTTTCAAGATGTGGTTTGTTTTAATTTTTAAAAATAGAAATCACATTTGATCATGCGGTTTTAAATTGAATTGCTTCCTTTGCAGGAGAAAGAAAAAAAACGAGAGAGAAAAAGGAAAGAAATAACAACGCAGCTGTTTTAAGTCTTTGTACTCTCAGGTACATATAAAATTAAGAATACCGCTGCCATGACTTAACTTACAGATAATATAATAACACTCTCTCTCTCAATAATGCATTATACCTTGTAGTTGAAATAGCGAGACACTATTTATAGCACGGGCCTCTGTACAATTAAAATTTTGTCAAGGTTGTATTTTTATACAGGAGAAAACAAAATTCTATTCTACGCCAATGCGAGGCCTATAAATATAATTAGCCATTATATCTGGGAGGGTTGCTAAGGGACAGGGTAGATCAATACATTTGTGCTTAGTGTTTTTTTCTTTATTTTATTTTTGGTCTTGGATGCCATTGGTGGGCTTGTCAGCCATTGGGGTTTAATTTGAGGGTTGTGCGGTACAGGTCTAATTCTGACGTCAGGTCTGTCGTTTGGTTGGGATTGGTCGGGTACAGCTCAGACCACACACACACAGACGCACATACATGTACGTACATGAAAGCATGATCATTGAAAATGCATGGGAATGAATTTGGACATAATGCACATTTGCAAAATGCATGAAAACGAAAGTTTTACACACAGTGTTTTTAAAAAATGGATGAGCTCCGCGGTTCATTTCATGCGATTCCCACAGAATGCTTCATATTCTTCTATAGAACTCTTTGTTTTTGTTAAATGTTGCTGAGTAGCCTACATCTACTGAACAATTAGTGTGAACAGAATCAATGTGAACAAGAGATACAACTGACTTCAAGTGCTTGCATTTTTTTCTCCACAAACAGTTGCTCAACTGACGCTGAGTACATGAAGCCACTTGTTAAAATTTGGAGAAATTTTGACCAGAACAAATTATACAACAATTATTCACAAATTGTGAAATCAAAAATGTCAACAAATCGTCACTGTTTTCGTGAACTGACGCGCAAGCGCTGTGTGCATGTACTTTGTGAAAGTAACGCGTATGATTAGTTTGGTTTTCACAAACTCACATGTAAGCAATGTGGTGGAAATACAATTTCGGAGAAAAAAAAAGTTTTGAAAGGTTTTGACACGATTTACTCCATCTGTGTACTTGTGGGGGTTATAGAATCATTTGACGTAAAAAAAACTGTTAACTGATGAAATGCAATCTCGACCTTTAACGCATACTCAGTTACTTAGAAATTCAATAATTAAGACGGGTTTCAGTTCGTGAATAACAAAAATAACACCCCTAGACGTGGGTGTCATGAAAACCGTTACTAACGGTTACTAACGCCACTTACGGTGCGCACGTAACTAAGACAACTCAGAGACCACCGGGTGTCAGTTTGTGGTGTCTGCACAAAATAAATACCATAATTTCCCAACACTACAACCACCTTTTATTTTTCGGCAAGCACCAAATTTTGATAAATTACGAATGTAATTTCAAGCATAGACGCTGCAACTATTGATATCCAATGAGATCCACAGCTATCCACATTTTATCCACACACCCATTCAACAACCACAACAGTATCCACTACCTATCCACTACATGTACAATACATGTACCTATCCACACATTCTCCCCATATGCATCAAAGAAAACAGTGGTACTTATAATTTTTCGATGCTATGCAAATTGTTGATATGAATACGAATATAAAAAAAATTACGACCAATATACTTTTCTTTTATGACCTGTCTATCAATCATTGACAGGTTTAACCAATAATAGGCAAAAAAAAATAATAGTCCTGCTGCCGGTTTCCCTACCTACCCTATTCTGCCAGCCCCTACCCTAATTTTTTTATGGGAAAAATAAGAAAAAAACACCCAAAACCACCAATTTCTACCTTTTACCCTTGACTACACACAGACGCCTCCATATGATTGCACACAAAAAAAATTGGCCAAAAAAAAAAATTCCCTACCTACCTACCCTATTTTCAAATGCCATGTAATCGGAAGCAGAAATATATATTTTTTTTGGCCTTAGTAGTTTGGTGTACTTTGACCCTGGGAATGAACCTACGGCCTCATCAGAAGTGTGAATATCTTCCTATAAAGCACTCGGTAAACAGTGCCACTTTTCGGCCAGTAACTGCCCCATGCACTGGGTACCATGCCCATATTTTTCCAACATTACACCCTGTGGACTGGGAAATGTAACATAAAATTTGTAAAGAATGGAATTCGCATCCGAGAGATGAACACTGTGAATTCAATATTTGTGCCATATTTTATGAAGACTGTACTCTCATATAGGGTAAGTCAACAAAAGCGAAACTTAAATGTTGGGACCATTGTTTTAGTGAAGTTCTGCATGTAGCCCTTTCAAAATCTAGGATATAAAAGCCCATTTCATAGGCTTCTTTTTAGTATAAGAATCATTCAAATCACTCATGTACTTTTCAAGTTACAGAAGTTTAAACACAACCATTTTTAAAAGTTCTGTCCACAGATCATAAGAAGATCATAAAAAGGTAAGTGTTCTTTCATAAACAAATCACATAGGGATGTGTGTGAATTGTTTTCGTTTTGCTGAAAGAACGCACACCTTTTTTTGTGATCCGTGAACAGAACTTGGAAAAAGTGGTTGTGTTTAACATTCCGTAACTTGAAAAGTACACGTGTGATTGGAATGATTCTTGTACTAAAAGAAAGCTTATGAATTGGGCTTTCATATCCTAGATTTTCAAAGTGCTATACAGATCTTCACTAGAACAATAGTCCCGACATTTGGGGTTTCGCTTTTTTGACTCACCCTCTACAGTGTTGTCGTGGGAAAAAATTAACTTCCAGTCAGAATCCAAACAGCGACACTTGTAATATTAGCATGTACAGGGCGTCGCCATTTTGACAATTCTTTTTAATGACGAAAAGACATTAACAAAAAAAAGGGGAAGGCCACTTTGGCCTTAGTGTTGTCCAAATTTCAAAGGGCACCGAGGCCAACTTAATTTCAAGTATTTAACTCAAAGTTTTTGCATAGTGCATAGGCCTACATACAGCATGCATATAACAGCCTGTGCAGTGACGATCACATTTTAGAGTCAATTCCCAGACAGGATAAATAACGATAATACTTTAATATCCACAGTCCATATATTAAGTTTAAATAAAGAAGATGAGCATGAAAAACATTGAATGGCCAGAGAGAGATCAAGTTCTGTGAACGAACTCATAGAGATCTTCTATCTGCATCTGTGTTTCATTGCGATTTGCTGCGAAGGGACCTTACTGACCACGTCGGGGGAAAACAACGGAGGTTTCCTTCCGAATTTAGCAATTGTCAATGTTTTCTACCATGAAGTTCAGGTGTGTTAATGTTTAATTATCGGTACGTACACGTGTCATGAATAAAAAAAGGCATGATGGCCAACTTGGCTGCGAAATGTGTATAGTTTGAAGGGGCACTGCGGCAAACACAGCAGGGCATGCTGCCAATGGCCGCGGTGGCCGCGATTTATGTCGAGGCCCGTGACGTTATCGTTCCATCTAGTGTTGGTACGTTCGTAGGGCCTAGTTAACAAACGAAACCATGAAACTGGCCCCTGGTGAAAGGAAAAAAACCTGCGAAACACATCTGCAGGAAGTGAAAAAGAAGGAAACTTGGACTTACTATTGTGCACTATCTATAAGTTGATACTCATGGGAGCGGTCGTAGCAGGCTTGTACACCGCCGTCTACCCATAACCTTTTCGTATGCTCCCAGAATTCCTGCAAAACAAATAGAAATACATTTAAAAGTACATCTAGGATCTTTTGATAAGATGGAATTTGCTTAGTCTATGATATGTGAACAGATTCATTTGCCCTTTGCAAATATTTTTGTTTTGTTAAAGCAACACAATTGCTCAAAATCGTAAGTAAGGTGCCTGACAATTAACCTGTTGGAGGTTCAGCTATGGGGCTACTGTAGCCTACTTTTTTAAAGAAAATACAGGAAACATACATGCACACTTTTTGGGGTCTCGTAACTGGATTCCATTTGCTAACACACACATAAAACAAATTGTGCCCATGAACACACTTTATAAAAGCACCTTTTAACGATTGTTTCCTTTCCATCGAAACCATTTCTGGCAGAATAATTTCACAGGGTATTTTGGACCAGTTTTATCTTCACTTTCAGCATGTTGAGCAAAGTTTTTTCAAACAAATTGCTTGGTGTTTTTCTAGCTGATTGCTGATGTTCCTACCCGCCTTTAACAAGTGCATAAAACAAAACTGAATATTCACGGACAACACCACAAAGGCCAAATGGGTCATATGGAAAAGGTTAACTGAATTGTTAATTCATTAATGTCTCAAACTTTACTATCAGAATGTTGAGTGTAGTTGGGTTGGGGGGGGGGAAATCACAGTAAATGGCACCACACTTTTTTTAATACCATATCACATTTTTCAATAGGTCTTCCAATTTTTTATTTGCATATGATTTCACAATCTTGACAATCAAGACATTAGTATGCTGAATGGATTTGATACTTTGCAATGCATGCCATGTGTAACCCAGTAGCACAGGTTTTGATACAATGTTAGTCGGTTTGATACAATGTAACACACTTTTGATACAATGTAATACCATACTGCCTTTCACAACTACAGTGTACATGCAGGAAAAGAACCCATTTTCTACTGTTTCAAAGGCTTCTGCAAACCTAGTTTGACAGCAATAAGCCCTTGAGAACATGTGTACCCATTGAAATTTGCTCCTACTCGTGGGAAAGTACTTGTACTTGTACTCGTACTCGAGTAAATTTTTGGGTACTCGCACTCATGGAAACAGAAGACTTATACTCGTACTCATGGCAAAGTACTCAGACTCATACTCTGACTGAAAAGTGGACCATTTATGAACTACAAGCATCACAATCTCAAATGTGTTATTAAATGAAAGTAGAAAACAAGACCTTTCATTTGAGTGGTGTGCCAGTGAGATAGAATGTGGTTAAATGCATTTTTTTGTAAAAAAAATGGGGGCCTAATGTTATGGATATTAGGTAGTCATTTTTGCATCTTGTTTTCACATGCAAAAGTCAAGTGTTATTGTGAGTTTTGGTTTTTAAGGCAGAGAGAAAGGTTCATATTTTATGAAAATATCACACAGAACTTAGAATACTGCGATCCAGCATGTTTTTTGTCATGTGTTTAAAGTTGATTTCATACAAAATTATTTAATATACAACATACAGACGTAACGTTATAATGTAACGTCCCAAAAACAACAAAAGCATGATGTTTCCATAACTATACAAAATTCCTTTATGTAAAATGCCATTGCTGTTTTTATAGAGTGAACCTAAATCTACCACAACATACATGTAGTTATTTAATAAAATTCTTGCAAGGACTTTCACAGATTTTTATCAATGCGTACTGGGAAATCAAAAATCTATGTCTCAAAGCGTAACATCCGTAACGGTCGTTAATTCATTCAGCTACCATTACATTAACCATATCATGTTGTACATCAAGGCCTAAGCTAGAGTTGTACTGAATATATATAAAATTTGCTTTCACTGCAAAACAGTTTACTTTTCAAATTGGTTTTTGGCTCTGAATGTAACATCTGTAACGATGGAATTGCCCTAATGCATTTCTTTTGTTAATACCTCGATGAGAATGGCACCTGATTCCAATATTTTGGCCATTGGCAGGAAAGTGAGGAAACGTTGCAGTAGTTACCAGATACGGTACATGTGGGCGGAATCGTAGGAAAAAATATATCATCCTGCTATAACGTTATAGATGCACTGGCCTGGCATTAGTCAGTCCTAGTTACAAAAACAAACGGCAATAACAACTCGTAATGATGACAGCAGGGGAAATCATGATAAAGGGTTGGGGAATCGATTTTTTTTTTTTTATCTCACCTGGCACTAAAAATATCTACAGGAGAGAGATGTGTTTACAAACACAAACCCTCCCAAAAATAGATTGTTTCGAAATGCCTGGATCCTTGGGAGAAAGATTAGAGAGTTTTAAAGGGAGGGAGGCAGGAGAACATCTTAGCAGGAAAATATTGGAATCATGTTTAACACACTTGACCCTAACTCCTAGTAGTTCTTCAGGACTACCCTGCTAAATCCAACAGAGTCCAACCGGAGTTTCCTGCTCAATCCACTGTGCCTTATTTTCAGCAGTCTGCTGAATCCAACAGAGTCCAATTTGGCATTGTAATGTGGTTCAGTTGCCTGCTGAATCCAACATTTTGCATCAGGAATGTACACAAGGGGTTTACTGCTCAATCCAACAGGCTCCATCGGGTAAATGATATAGTTGGATCCTGTTGGATTCAGCAGGTTAATTAATGAAAACATAATAATTTGGAAGTAAAGAAGTTGGTGATGTGATTTTATAAAAACATTCTCAGAGGGACATAAACTGCCAAGTTTAAAGGTATTGCACAGCATTTGCTTTTGCTGTAATGTTCAGAAATGGGTGGATATGGGAGTTAGTATTTCATAGCAAATATTGTTGCAATGATCTGTTTAAAGTTTTGTGTTCATAGATTCTGGAAAAACCGAGAAAAAAAAATGCTGTTCATGACCCTATACTTCAGATGAAAGGAAGCAATTTATAGTCGTCAGGGAACTATCAGGTCAGTCAGGGAACTATCAGGTCAGGGAACCTAGCTGGCTTGCAGCCACAGATGTACATGTATGTGGTGAACTGGGGGCAGCATTTGAAAAAAAAAGTCGTTTTTTTTTTCCAACGATGGTCGACCAACCATCGTTGGAAGCTGATACAAAAATTCCACTTTTCTTGAAAATGACAGCACACCAGGTGCCATGATTTCACCGGATGCTTGAGACTATTATTCACTTACAGTCAAGTAAGGTATTTCATAATAAGTTGATAGTTTTGTTTTTGGATATTTGCAAATGTTGTATTACCTTTAATGCAAGTTTTTAAACTTGTTTTATTTTCTTCTTCTTTTGTTGCTTTCTTGGGGGTTTTTTTGGTGGTATGTCCAGCAAAACATTAAAAAAAACAAAAATATATTTGTTATCACAGTCAAGATTTTATCACACAATCATTTCATCTCATAATATTGACATCCGCCTACAAGCTCTCATAAATTTTTAACTTTGAATTGTGAAAGCGAAATCCTTCGCACTGTGTTTCAGATTAAAAAGCTAAAAATAGCCCACGTTGCTTTCTGTTCCTATAAATATTTGTTATCTCTTTTTCGGTTTTTCCGCTTTGTCTTTCAGTGTAAATAAATGACCCTGGAAAAAAAAGTCTGCCTGGATAGGAAATTCACTGGTAGTTCTACACGCACATACACAAATATAATATGTGCACGCTCATGTACACACACGGTCTCCCATCACTTGGTAAAAATTCACTGGCAGTCAGCTGGAGTGTATTAAGCCTTGCATGCATGGTTATCTCTTCAGCTTAATCTGTCCCTGGTGATCGGGGTTCGAACCCCGCCTGGAGTACCAGGCAAATTGGGTTTGAAAGACGTAGCATTATCTTGTGGATTTTACTGACAATTTGGTTTAAACTCTCTAGAGTAGGCCTTTTCCCACTAGACAAATCTCGGGATTGACCCAGGGTTGGAAACTTATGACGTTTCACACTTGAAACTTTTCAACCCTGTGCCAACCCTGCGTCAACCCTCTTTAAAAAAAAACTCACTGGGAAGAACGCAAAGTACATGTATGTACATGTATGTTCATGTACATGTAGGACTTATTTGATACTGAATCTGCACAAATCCATAGCATCTTCGCATGAGCATCAGATGTCCTCAGCAATGCACTTGTCTCCCCCAACTTTGCTGTTGTTACCGTTGAATGGTGCACCTAGTCCACAACATACATGTACATGTAAGATACATCAATGAGCACACAGTGAACATACATACCGGTACATGTACATTATACGGTACATGTACCGGATTATACAGGTACATGTAAAGAGTACGTTAGGCTTACCGCTAATAGGTGATGCAAAAATTGTTGGAATTGATTTTGTTTCCACACAGGAGTTCATGATTCCATTTGGAATACAGTGAAATGTCGCTATACAGAACATCGTATATACAGAACATTCGGCTATACCGAATATCGTCCTTAGCTCCCGTTTTTTGTGTGCAAAACGTACCGAACATTGTTGTTAACAAAAGTCAAGAGAGGAGCGACAAGTGGCTATTATTTCCCCAAGGAAAAGAAGGGAAAGCCACCCATTGCTGTACTGTAGGTACAGGTAGTAAGCTCAAAAACTGTACAATGACATAATTCAATAGTCGGCGCGTGTTCAAAGTCGTCTTTCAGTAACTACCAGGGTGTGCAGATGAAGTTCTGAAGGGCGCTTTTCACTGAAAATGAACAATCGCTAATACGAACAATTTCTGTAGATCCACAATGTTCGTTACAGCGGCGTTCCAGTGCTGTAGAATCCTTTTCAGTCCATCCAAAAAAGCATTGAGGAAAGGCCTTCATTTCTAGCAGCCCTTACCCTGCTGAATCCAACAGGATCCAACTGTTTTGCCTTTCCGTTGGATCCTGTCGGATTCAGCAGTAAACATCTTGTCTCTATATACATGTATATCCTGCTGCATGGATTCTGTTATATTCTGTTGGACTCAGTTACGTTCAGCAGGCAACGGAAAACTACGGCATATTTTTATTCTGTTAGACTGAGCAGCCAAGTCATTTTGTATTGTAAGGCCCCAGCAAAAATGACCCGTTGGACTGTGTTGG